CCTTTCCTCCTCTCCCCAACTTCTGGCTACCTTTCTGGTGTCACTGTTCCCATTCCTGTTCCCGGATTCTGTCTGTCCTGAGCTCTTATCTCTTACCTGTACCTGTGCACCTGCTCCATTCTAGTCCGAAGTGAGAGGCAGCACTGGGGTCATGATAGTGAGGGGGGAGGAAGTGTTTCATCAGTGCTTTATTGTGCCCTGGCTGACTCATCCCTTCCTTGTGACCTTTCTGTGAGGGGATGTTCCATTGTCTACAAATGGGCTTTGGGGCTCTGCTCTGACCGCCCTCATTCTCAACAATATGGTTATTTTGTTAAGGGAGTACTTGGGTTGAGGCCCAATGTCCATCTGCAACATTAATTCTTAACATATAGATATGAGTACATAGTTCTATTCCCCTCTCATTATATGATGGTGAGACAAGAAGGAAGTAAAAAGAAATAGAGGAAATAACCAGGAGGTAAAGGACATTTACAGAGGCCTAAATATAGGCATGTACATATGTAAATATATATAACAATTTCTATTTTTAAAAAAAGAGGTTTAAATTTTTTCGAAGGTCAATTTATCATTTTTCTCCTTTATGGATTCTACTTCTGATATCATATCTAAGAAACTTTTGACTAATCCAAGGATACAAAAATATTTATCTACATTTGTTTTAAAAACTTTATAGCTTTAGGTTTTACATTCGGTTCTATGGTCCATATTGATTTAATTTTTGCATTCAGTACAAAGCATACGGTATTGATAGCATAGCTTCCCGCAACAGAGTAGAAGTTATTTTTAAAATTTTTGTATATGAATATCCAATTATTCCAGCACCATGTTTTGAAAATGTTATCTTTCCCCATTTAATTCCCTTTGCATCTTTGTTGAAAATTAGTTGCTGTATATGTATGGGCCTATTTCTGAACTCTATTTAATTTCATTGATTAATCATGTATCTTGATAGTATTATTGTTTCATTACTATAGATTTATGATAAAATTTGAAATCATGTGTGTAAGTTCTATAAAATTATTGTTTTTAAAGTTGTTTTGGATATCCTTGTTCTTGTGAATTTTTATAGGAATGTTATCATCTATTTGTCACTTTCTACAAAAATATTAAAGCTTGCTTGGGCTGTGATATAGATAAATGTGGGATGACTTCACATCTTAAACAAATAATATCTTCTCACATATGAATATTCAAACCCAGTGCCTTTGGGTTGATTCTGGCTTACCCTATAGAACAGAATACAACTGCCCCATAGGGTTTCCAAGGCTGTAATTTTGTGGGAGAATTCTAATCTGTTCTACAGAGTCACTGTAAGTTGTTGTTGACGTGACAGCAATGGGTTTGAATATTTATGATTTCTAAGACTGTAATTTTTATGGAGGCGTCCTGGTGGTATTTTGAGTTAAGCACTGGACTTCTAACTACATGGTTGGTAGTCCAAACTAATCACCCAAGATGAAGGAGAAAGAAGGGGATAGCTGCTCCCATAAATTTTGCAATCTCAGTTCTATTCTGTCCTACAGGATCTCCCTGAGTCAGAATCCACCCGATGGCAGTGGGTTAATCTTTATATATGTGGGCTGCCGTGTCTTTCTCCCAAGGGGAATTTGGTGGGTTCTAGTTGTCCACTTTTTGGCTATCAGCTGTGCCACCAGGGTTCCAAACAAAGTCTACCTCTCTATTTAGGCTTTGTTTAATTTCTCTCAGCAATTATTTGTCATTTTTGTTTCATTTACTTGTCAGAATTATTCCTATTTATTTTACATTTTTCTTCTAATATAAATGCTATTATTTATGTTCATGTTTGGTTTGTTTGTTTCTACATTATAGAAACACACAATTAATACTTGTATACGGATCTTGTCTTCTGACAAGATCTGCTAAGCTCACTTTTTAGTTCTAGTAGCAGTTTTGTATATGCAATTGGATTTTCTACCTGGATGATCATGTTGTCCAAGAATAAAGCTTCCTTTGCAATCTGGATGTTTTATTTTTTCCCTTGTTTATTGCGATGGGATGGCTAGTATTCCAATCCATTGTTGAATAAAAAGTGATGCTAGCAGACAATCTTCTTGTTCCTGGTCTTCTCAAAACTCTCAAAACTCTCAAAATCACTGTCATCCTTTCAATTCTGGCTCCTGGCGACAGTATAAGACAGAATAAAACTGGCCCTGTGGGTTTTCTGAGACCGTAACTGTTAAAAGAATTTGAAAGCCTCATTTTTCTCACTTTGAGCAGTTTCTGGTTTCAAACTGGTGACGTTGTAGCTAGGAACTCAATGCCTGACCATCAGGGAGCCTTCTTCTGATCTTAAACAAGCAAACAAATCAAAGCACTAAAATCACTGCCGCTGTGACAGTAAATCTTTATGGGAAAAGAAAGCCTTGTCTTTCTCTTGTCATGGCTTATGGTCTCCACCAGCAAATCTTCCTGTTAGCAGCCCAATATATATATTTAATCTTTCATCAATAAGTATACTGTTACCAGTAAAGTTTTTATTCATATCTTTGTTCATCTTCTACTGCTGTATAAAAAATGACTCCAAAATTTAACCATTGAGTAATTTAAAATAGCAAAACACTTTATATCTCATAATTTCTGTGGGTCAGGAAGGCAGACATGACTGAACTGTATGTCTCTGTCTCAAAGTATCTCATAAGGCTATAATCAGGATGTCAACTGGAGCTATTGTTTCATTTAAGAAAACTCTAACGTTATGCTGATTCATGTGGTTGTTGGAAAGGGTCAATTCCTCACAGGCTATTTGATTATGGATGTCAGTTTCCTACTGCTGTCCAGTGAACTCCATCCAATTTTGCTGTTTGTTTTGGCTTGGCCACATGGGGCTCTCTGTGGGGCAACTCACATCTTGGGAACTGGCTTCTCTCAAGACATGGCAAGTAAGACAAACTCCAAACTAACTGCCATCAAGTCCCTGTGAACTCATATTGACCATATAGGATAGGGTAGAACTGCCCTTGTGGCTTTCCAAGGCTGCAACTCTTTATGGGAGTAAAAACCCCTCTTTCTCCCACAGAACAGCTGGTGGTTTCAAACTGCCAACCTTTGGGATCACATTCTAACATGCAATCACTGTGCATCCAGAGTTCCTATATAGTAAGTCCCCATAAAGGTCACACCTTTGCCTTTAGGGTCATTGTTTATCTTTTCTCTGATAGTATATTCTTTTGTCACTCTTCACCAAATTCCATTCATCATTCCAATATTATCCCAAGTTCTATTTCTAGTTGGAAGACATCCCTATGTACTTAGTTTCAGCCTTTAAAAATTATGTTATATTTATTTTAACAAGGTATTCCTTCTGGTTCTGAAGCAAGTTTTAAGTGGCTAAGGTTACTCTCTTCTTTCCCTATATTATACCATTTGGTATTAATTGAACTTTAATTATATTCTATGATGGAGGTCACATAACCACTCACTCCACTCTTGTCTGGCAACTTGCCCATCAATAAGTTATACATAAATCTCGCTGTCAGAATAAACGGATGGCATTTTTTTCTAGTCATTCAATATGTTTTTTGTTTGTTTTCTTCTCAACCAGCAGACAAGTTTCTTGAGGCAAGGTTAAAGTCTTGTTTAATATTGCATATAGAACATGTACTGTGCTATTGTGTCTGTGAAGACCATCATTACAAGAAGTCACTGGCAACCTGACTTTCCAGAATCATGGTATTAGGTTCAGTTAATAATATGTAGGACCAAAGTAAGTCAATGTCGAGTGAACACTGAGATGGCTCTAGAATAGCTTAGCAAGACATTCATGCTTACACGGAAAAAAAAGATGCATATAGTGCAGACACTTTCAAATTTTATTGTTTGTCTGATACATTTGCTCTTGGAGGATTATACTTAATGTGAGTCTATTGAATGATTTTACAGGTATCCTCATATACTCAGATGAAGGGCTTTATTATAAATATCCCTCTTTGTGCTGTAGGCGACTGTGCATTTTTCAATGCTGAAAACATAAATATGAAAGTGTTTTGTCTGTGTCAAGGACATATATCTGTTGGCAATGCAGAGTTTTGAATTTGAGTTTTTGTTATTATGTTGTCCTGATTCAAGAAGTATGCATAAAGTGCTTTATGCACACATATGTTCTTACACAAGCCTTTGCCATAAGAAAAAACAAGAAAAGTTATAAAAAATAACACATATAGAAACTGGTATTAAGATAAAAAATAAAATCCAATTTTGTCTACAATAAAGGTCTGATAACATTTTATTGTACATTCTCCCTGTATATGTGTATTTATATAATTAAATAGAATTTTTCTTAATATATTACTTTGTTCCTTGCTTTTCTTTTTAATGACATGCACACTATTCAGGATATAGTTATATCATATTCTAAACATCATCAGGTTTCACTGTGGCGTAGACTTCCAATGCATGGATCTACTGTAACTTACTTATTTTACCCCCTAATTTGGATCATTTTCGTTGCTTCCAGTATTTTGTTCTCACAAAATTAGAAGAATAAATGTCCTTGTAGCCAAGGCTTTATGCACATCCTGATTGTTTTCTTAATGAAATTGCTGGATCAAGCAAATCAGAATTCTAAGGCTTTTGACATCAAAAGTATCCAGTAATTCATGAAGTGTTTGTTAAAATATTATTTCATTTCTAGGCATACTTATAAACTATATGCAGGGAAATTTTAATGCATCCATATTAGTAATTAATGAAATCATAGTGCAAAACAATCAACACCAGCCCTAGAATTGTTACTCCATTTTCAATATTCCTTGTACTCTAACCTCAGCAATTTTCATTGTGGCTACCAACATGGTGTTCAGCAAAACTTATTCTGAGAAATGCTTTCAACAAAATTAAGCTTCATGATTCAAAAAAATTTTGAAAATGCTATGTTAAACAAAATTAGACAGGCTACACAGCCTATGATGGTTACAACCATCTCAACAATTTAGATTATTTGCAATCAAGAGGCAGCAGAAAGTCAATCTTTCAGGATGATGCTCACTTGGGCAGCACATATCTCAAAATTATAATGAAACTGAGAAAATTAGTAAGGTCCCTGTGCAAAGATGATCTCCAAAATCATGAAGGATTCTATGATTTTTCTGTTTTATTCTGTGATTCCTACTTTTTGCTATTTTTGTGTTTTCACTGTATGAAATCCAGGCTAGGTAAAT